GGGGAGACTGCTTCTCTCCCTCTCACAACTCTCTCCCTCTCTCTCAAATAAATAAATTTAAAACAAACCAAATCAATAATTCAGTCCCATCTTCAGGTTCCACTTCCAAAGAAACAATCTGAAATATTGCAGGAATTTCCAAATGTGACCCAGAGATACAGAGTTAGTAAATGCTGTTGGAAAAATGGTGTCAACAGACTTACTCTCTGCAGGGCTGCCACACACCTCAATTTGTGAGAAACAGGACCTGCGACGCACAAGAAAACAAAGCAAGTCTGTGCAGAACTGGGACTCTGACTCACACCATTCCACAAATCCTGATTTGGACACTTTGCCATTCACTCCAGGAGGCCCTGTCTTCTATTCTCCCAGTTTCTGAGGATTCTTCTGATGGTTTTTATTATTGTCATCATCATAAAGAGCATCGTCATTATAATTATTGATGTTCATCAGCATTATTATAATTATTGCTGCAATGATTAATCACTGCTGTTGTTATAAAACATAAATAATGTTTCTCCATCCAGTCAGGGTAGGATTTACTGGATAGGATGACTAGATATTCCCAACATATGCAAACATACAGGCGCTCCCTCACTCGATGGCATTTCCCCTGATAAGTGCCTGGAAATTTTCAAGTTCCTTTCCAGATGCCCAGAATCACTATTTCTACAGGGGAGACTTAAGGAGGGGATCTTGTCCTGCCTGAGCCCCTGGAAAATATTCTAAGGTACCTGGAGTCCAGTAAGGGCTCATGGCTGCTTAAAGGTACTGGGAGGGCATCCTTAGACCACCAGAGTCGCTTCAAATTTCCTAAGACCCCCAGGGCTCAAACACCACTGGGCAAGTTGACAAGTCTTGAGAGAAGTCCCCACCTACTGGCGCCTGTGCAGAATTTTCTTTCTTTTTTAAATTAAATTAAATTAAATTAAATTTATTTATTTGTCAGAGAGAGAGGAAGGGAGCACAATCAGGGGGATTGGCAAAGGAAGAGGGAGAAGCAGGCTCCTTGCTGAGCAGGGAGCCCGATGCGGGACTCAATCCCAGGACTCTGGGATCATGACCCGAGCCAAAGGCAGACGCTTAACCAACTGAGCCATCCAGGCATCCCCAGAATTTTCTAAGAATATCCCAGAACCTGGGAGCCAGTGAGCCCACCCCAAGGCATCCCCTAGTGGCTGGGGAACACTGAGGAGGATGCCCAGGGACTGATCTCATGGTCCATCAACAGCCCCAGACAAAGAGCCCACATCCAGGAGTCCAGACATGAGTGTAGCTAGCAGAAAGTGCAGCAAGGCAGTCAGTACTGAGACAGGGCTGTGGCCTAATGTTTGCTGTAGGCAGGGCTTTGGACGGAGGCAAAAATGGATCTTAACTAAGTCCAGCTTCCCTGGAAAACATACACACAAACACATTTACAGGAATCAAAAGAAGAGCTGCCTCTGAATGACAATTTGTTTTCCGGATGAATTTTCATGTCCTGTCATATTTTGCTATTTTCTATTTTCAGCATTTTGGAACCATAAGCACATGTAAGTAATAATCTAATATTGCTCCTAGGACATGAATTGGATTACATAAGAAATACATATGACCATCTATTCTAGATGTCCTTCTTGATATAAACAAAACTTATACTAAACATATAATGTGTCATTTGGAAACCATATCTCAAGAAAACAAAATCCATGCAAGTAGTTTTTTACATTAAAATTTTTTTAAAGATTTTATTTATTTATTTGACAGAGAAAGAGCACAAGCAGGGAGAGAGGCAGGCAGAGGGAGAAACAGGCTCCCCGCTGAGCAGGGAGCCTGATGCAGGACTCGATCCCAGGACCCTGGGATCATGACCTGAGCCAAAGGCAGATGCTTCACCGACTGAGCCACCTGGGCGCCCCTCACTTGACCTAGCTGACAAAAATCATAAGCCCTATGACAGTGAGTTCCTACTGCCCCTAAATACACATTTCTAATGCATGATGGGAAATAAGATATGAATAGACTTTCCATGACTCATTACACATTATGAACCTGAAAACTTTGTCCTGTTGGTCTTTCATATCTCAACCATACTGCACACTTCATAGATATCATTTCTTGAAAAGAAGTCTTATCAATTTCATATTTTTAGAATGTTTTTTTTTTAAGATTTTATTTATTTATTTGAGACAGAGAGAATGAGAGAGAGAGAGCACATGAGAGGGGGGAGGGTCAGAGGGAGAAGCAGACTCCCCGCCGAGCAGGGAGCCCGATGCGGGACTCGATCCCGGGACTCCAGGATCATGACCTGAGCCGAAGGCAGTGGCTTAACCAACTGAGCCACCCAGGTGCCCCAATTTCATATTTTTATTTCCATTCTAAAAATACCAAAACAAGCTCATTGAAGTACCATATGAAAAAACATTTGAAGAGGAAAAATGGATATTGTATGTATTGTAGTAAAACTTGAATACCAAAATATGATATTCACCCACTCCCTTTCACTCTTATTGTGTCATTCCAAGTCCGTTAGATCATCTGCATCCTCTATTTTAGCTTCTTTTTCTAGTAGAGCCAGGGCATTTTGGCCCACTGGAGCCACCAAAAAAAACAAAAAAGTTTAAATCAAGCCAGGAACCCCCTTTGTCACCATGCTCGGCCTGACTCTCTTGAAATTTTCCAAGCGGCCACGAGGACCCAAGAGCCATAGCGTCTGCAGAATTTCCCAGGTCAGTTCGGGAGCCTGGGAAATGCCACGGCCCAAAACGGGACTCTCATGGAAGGCTTTCTAGGCCCACCTTGGATGCCGAGGAGGGGAGGCTGGGACTGGTCGGCGCCGCTGAGAAGGCGATGCACACACCGAGACACAAGAGGTTGTCTCAGTCCCCAGCGGAACCAGGGAACGGCCCGTACATGTCCCCCCAGAGGGCTAGCTAGGAACAAGAATGGCTGGACAATCCAGCCCATCCCTCAACATTTGTTGAGGACAAAGGAAACTTGAAGAGAACTCACACTTAGTTGGAGACCTTAGCGCACAGCCAGCTAAGTCAAAAGATCACATAAGCGAAGAAGGGAAGCTGTTACCTATTAGACCGATTACACTGGGTCTGGCTGTTAATATTAAAAAGGATCAGTATCTTCACTGAGTGCACATTAAACTGGTGTAAAATTACTGAGTACCAAATAATATTTTCAATATGTAATAAGGACTGGGAAAGCATTGAGGCCTCTAATCTGAACCTCACACAATAAATTTAAAAGGGAAAGTGGTGTGGAAACTAAAACTGGAATGAATTTGGCATTTGCCCTTCCGCTGCCCCCCACTGCTGCTGCTGGTCTAGGCCCCCTCCTCCATCTCTCTGCCGACCCCACTGCTTCTTGCCCAGGTTCCTCTCTTCCACTGTTACTGTTTTTCCGACTCCATAGGCCCTCCCCCTTCTCATCCTCTATTTTGCTCTTACTCACTCTCCCTTACACGCTGTCTCCCGGGTTCTCCCTCTTGGGCTCTTTTTTCCCTCCTCTCCCCGCCCACTCCACACTCGAGCTGGAACGAAGATGCCGGCTGCCTAGGGAGCGCGGACTTTGCAGTGGGACCCTGGGAAAGTAAACAAGCTCCGGTAGGTACGGCCAGGGGAACGGGCCTAGGGACAGAACAGCACGCGGCGTCCCAGAGCGGGGTCGTCCCCTCCGCCATCGAGGCTGCGGAGGGGGGGCCCGGGAGCCGCGGGGCCCGGCTGCCGGAGGACGGGAATGGGGAGGCGGGTGTCCCGCGAGGACTGGGGTGAGCTGAACGCCGGGGCGGGCGGTGCCGGGCGGCCCGGGCGCCAGCGGGCTGTGGGGGTACGTGCAGAGCCAGGACCCACGTCCCGAGTGAGGACGCGGCGCGGCGCGGGGACACAGAGAAGACACGCACAGCTGGAAGGCCGAGCGTGCAGGCCTCGGAGCCACTCCAGCCGGACAGACGCTGGCCCGGCCCCAGCGCCCGGCCCCGGGGCGTTTAAGGGCGAAGCGGAGCTCCGCGCGGGCGGGGCGGGCAGGGACGGGGCCTGTGGCGTCCGGGAGGACCGGGCGGGGACGCGGCCGCGGAGCGCCGCTTTGAACCACAAACACCAACGCCCACCCACCACCGCAGGGGATCCTTCGCGCCAAGAAAAGTTCTGGCGCCAGGAAATTACGAATTGGGGCGGAGCCCTCTAGGGGCGGGGCCTGTAGAGGCGGTGTCAGATGGACTGGGACCGAGCTAGAGAGTGGCGCTGCCAGCGTGGGGTGGGGCCAGTGCGCGGGCGCGGCCGGCGTGGGGCGGGGCCTGGGGAGGGTGAGCGAAAAGCGGGGACGGGACGTCAGCGGAGAGGCGGGGCTGGGGCCGGGG